GCAACCTTCGTTATTTACTATAACCTGAAAAGGCTTGCTACGAAGTTTGTGACACCCTGATGAAAACGTCGGACACCTTATAAAATATATTTAACCACCTCTGTCTGTCTGTCCGTCCATCTGTCTATAAGTACGCGTACTAGCCTTTCAATTTTTGAGATATTGATCTGCAATTTTGCTCTATAATTTTGAACACGCCCATTTCTACCTAAAAATTTACGGTGTTTTCTTGTTTTTAAGTAGACTTCACACTACACCGGCTACATCAGCTGTTCAGTTCAAGTTCGTTTCTTAAGTCTTTTGATAGCTCTCCAGTTAATTTTTTAACCGACTGATAAAAGCTTGTCACAACAATAATAAACTATTGCAAACAAATTGGACAAGTTAATGTATAATGTGGAAAACAGGTAACATTTAGTCGATAAGCAATCTTACTTATTAATATTCAACATATCATTCTATGCAATATTATTGGAAATAGCGCTACCCCTGCTAGCTGCCAAAAGTTTAGCGCACTTCCATTTATAATACTTTCGAGCAGTTTTAACACCGTTTTCAGTTGTCTCATCTTCTGTAATGGCTTCCGGCTAAATAAACAATCCACAAACTTCTTTTCAGTCCACCAGACACTTCAACATGTCTGCACTCACATACATACATTTTCTAGTCGTTTAGCACTTTTACGCTTGAAATCCATCACAGTACCGGTTTGTGTCGCCTAACGTTTAAAGTGATGGCATCGAAGATGACTGCATAACGCTTAAGTAATTTGTAAAACTAGTCCACAGAAATATAAAATTTGCTACTGAAATTATAGAAAAGAAGAAAAGACATATAAAATATACGAACTCATAAATGGTGTGATTTTTCAATACCCGTTGGTGGTCAAGTCTCTATTATGGAGAAAGAAGCGAATGCTGATAGGAGCCTCGTGACATTGATGCTTTAAGAAATAATATCTACGACAGGGTTGCAAAATAACGATAGAAGAGAATAGTCGATAGGTATGTATTAATAAATAGCCTGTGTTATGTAAAGATAAAGCATAATCCTTTATGCCCTTATTAGAGTTTAGGTAAAAGATGATAAAAACTCACTAATGTTGAGTGAAATGACTAAATAATTTTTAATAATCTGTATATATGTATGTATATAAAATAAAGTTGTTGTTAGTTACACCATTTATAACTCAAGAACGGCTCAACCGATTTGGCTGAAAATTCGTGGGGAGTTAGCTTAGAACCTGGGTAAGGACATAGGATACYTTTTATCTCTTTATGTCAAAATTTAATACAACTCATAAATACAAAAAYTATATTTTAAATCATAGGCATTTGTTCAAAATTCATGTTTGTAGSAATCATTTCAACATATGCGTACAATTTTAAACAGATTCTTCCTAAAATTTTTTTATTTATTTATAGTAGAATAGTAGAAAAGAAGTGCAGTGAATAATCTATAATCTGGCTCAGTAATCAGTCACTGAGTATGTATTATACCACATGCATCCCAAAATACTTATGTCATGTAATTTCCAGTCGCATTTTTCGTCTTCCAACGCCTGAGACCCGGATTCCAGCTTTAATCCGATTAGAGAGCACTCAAACACTTCCCATAATCAGTTATTCGGTGTTTGCGTTGGATTATGAACTTGGGAGTCACCCACTTTTCACAGAGCTTTCGCCCCTTTAGAGCATCATTTTCCTCGGTGCTAATTTCGCCTGTTTCCAACTTAGCAAATATCTTCTTAACGGTACATTTCCCTCAGCCCAAATTCAGCAGTATTTTCCCCCAAAAAGCAATGCTTTATTTACACAAGAAATGCTTTATGATCCATATTTTTGTAAAATAACAGAAGTTGCTTCACAGAAATGCTATATCTCATTAACTAATCATTATAATCTAACTAAGAGAAATCATRTAGTATGGTAGTAGTGGTATTATTTATGTATCAGGCACAGTGAAGCGTGGACGGGTTCTCTAGTTTAGTATAAAATATTCCGCACAGCAACTGATAAAATTTTCAAATTTCCTGCTTTATGGTTGATTTGAATGAATGCCCCATTGACTATGGTTATTAACGGTTGCACACAATATTATGGAAAAATGCGCAGTGCTTTGAAGACAAAATGCTCAAATATTTGGATCCATTCCATTTACCGTTGACTCCTATGGTCGTGGGAATTCTCCAACCAGCAACCAGTTACTTTTACAAACGCCTTAAGCAGGAATTTCACTTTGTGCATAATAGTTATTCCCCCAAAGCCACATATATACACACATACACACTTACCTGCGAGTATTCTCAAAGTATAAGCATACACAGGTATTATGTACATTGAGCAGTTAAGATTGATGTTGAATGCTGTTCGTTATGTGTATGATGTGATGACGGAGGAGGCTAATGTTCATTTTCCATCACATTTCCACAGCAATAACAACAATAACACGCCAACTTGTGCGTTCGTATCAAAACGAAAGTCTCAAAGCGGTACCCGACATTGGCATTACGCCAGTAATTACTGCCATTTGACACCAAATTTTCTGAAATCTCTGCAACCGCTTCAGCGCCAAAAAACTGTTTGACCCAAAATGCGTTTTGTTTCACCAAAAAACACTCGAAAGACGCTGTTAATGGGTTGGGCTTCACGCCACTACGCTTGAATATTTTAATACTTTTTATAATATCGTATGTACTTACAGTAAATGTATGTATATGTGTATGTGTATGTAAATATGTTAATTCGACCGCGAGCTTCCATTGCTCTTTCTCCGTGAATATGCTTAACCTAGTTTTTTTACTCTCCTCGCAATCAGATTTATTCGAAATGAATCATTCGAATAATYATCTCGCTCATCATATGGGTGTACGCAGAAATGTGTATGTGTGATAATATTCTCATTATCCTCATTAAGATCATTTCAATAAAACAGTATGTATATTTTGAGTGAATTCAATTTGAAATAGCAATGCATAAAATTTCACTTTACTATGTTATTCTTTTATTATAATTATTGCTACAAATTAATTTGTATTATTATCGCATTGCTTCTGTCAACAGTCTTAAATTCGATAATATCCCTTATTGACAATATTTTATAATAAACTTATAGTGTATATATCTCAGATTGCCCTACAACATTTATTTTTAAAAAGTTTTAGGAGCCAGCAGCGACCACCGACCGCATTCATTTAATCCGATTTGTGCTGATTTATTTATGTATATATTAAAATAAACTATAAATACACTTGAAGAAATTTATATGGAAGCAAAACTTAACTTAACGTTAACTTTGGTCTCTTCCACTCAAAATTTTAAATTCGATCGTTCAGTTTGTATAGCAACTATATACCACAGCTGTCTAATATCGGCGGTTCCGACAAATGAGTAGCAACTTAGGAGTAAACAGACGTGTGCAAATAATTAGATCAATATCTCAAAACTTGAGRGTCTAATTCGTACATATACCGACAGACAAACAGATATATAATATATAGCATTTTATTGGGTCTCAGATGTTTCCCTCGTGGAGTTATATCGATGCGATTTTATTTATTAACTATTATCATGCCACATACTAAAAAATGTTCTCAGGGTTTCATTAAGATACCTCACATATAATACGAGTATAACCACCATTCACATGGAGTAAAGTCGGCCGGATGTTCGAAAAATCTGATATTAGTTATATGAGAGCTCAGGGAAGTATTTACCCGATTCAACACATTTTTTGTTTTTACAGAAATTTACTATTGTCAGGAAAGGAATCTCTCTGAATCCACATATCCTGTTATATTAATTACTTTTTGACTTGTGTACTGGATTCAAGTGGAATTTWAAATTGTGCCAAATGGGAAGTAGTTCGATTTTGTCCATTTTTGCAATGTGACATAGGAATATACGAAGAACGCCACGTACTTAATTCAGTCAGTGCCACGCCTATCGTCCAATTCTCACACTACCTCATCATACCACTTCGGAGGTAAAGCTTAATATCTCTGRAGTATTTAGTAATTGATTTATCGCGCTCGTGGTAGTTTTGAAAAATACCGTTATATGCAGAGTGAGCAGGGTTATTATCCGATTTCTTCCATTTTCACACTATCGACAGACGTTTTTATAGTACGAGTATTTGCGCTATGTGAATTTGGTTGTTGTAGCTTTATAGTTCAGGAGATATGCACAGTAAACTTATTAGAAGCCCACTTTTTCAAAATTTTTTKCCCACAGGGGCTCCTTGCTACTACGATCGTCTGGTCATCCTGATCAATTATATATATGTATATAACTCTATATCCATCTCGATTAGTTTTAGGTGAAACGTACAACCGTTAGGTGAACAAAACTATTATACTTTGTAGCAACATTTTGCAAGAGTATAAAAAGAGCTCTTTAATGATTAAATTTCTTAATTAATAATTTTATGCGCAAACCGCAAATTGCTCACAGAATTGTTAGAAAACTAAATATCCAGGCAACCGAAAAAAAAAACAGAAACCAACTTCACCTGATTTTAAAGAAAGCGTTGAAAACGTAAATGCATGAGTCGAGCTATCATGAATATGTACCTAAATACATGTATGTAAATAAATTGACTTCTGAACAGTACTTTAGAGCGTATATTGCTGCGATTTTCCTTATTCATATAGACAATGTTGATCCTTTGAAGAACTTTTTGTGAARCTGACTTTTTAACAGACAAAATCCCGCATAGTTGCCTATAATATATATAGTACATACTTATGTAGAGATGCATAATACATAAATAAAACAGTAAGCAGACAAAATTGTAGAAGGCGATACTGGTTTGCCACCGAAGAAGAAACCGAAGTCGGGAACAGCAGCAACAGTATTCGAGACGTTCATGGCCAGAAAAGCCATGCAMCAATACAACACCAACATGCTGTTGCATTGAGCAAAAAGCAGTGAGCAGAGAATCAACAACATCCATTTTCTACACGATTTTCTCCCTGTTCGTTTTTTAATGGGGTCACTTACATTGGTTATGCTTCTCCAAAAGCACCGGTATGCCATTTTGGGTAATGCGCGTATTTGTTGTACAGCAGATAGTTATTTCCAAGAAGACAGAACACAACGTCACAACCAAAGGGGCCGCTCTCCACGAATGCTTTTCTCAAATTGCCTTTATATTATAAATATAAACAATTCAAAAAATGTGCACATTTACATAAAAAGAAATCTCAATTCACTTTTCACTTATCGATCACTTAAATCATATGTACGAATATGTGTGTGTGACTTTTTGAATTCTTAATTATATGTTTATTTTTATGCATGTAACGTTTCTCTTTTGAGCCAAGGTTTGGGTTAATGGTTAAAATATTAAGCGGAATTCCGTTTGAAAAGCGTAAGGAACGACAGCAGCGATCAGCGAATGGCAATAGCGAGCGTTTGCTTTACAATACACGAACCGAACTAGTCGAGCGCTCACCTTAGACTGACGGTTAAAAGATCTTTTACGATTTCTTAAGCGTTCGCCTGTGATTTGGAGTCAGTTCTTGTCCAACAGCTGCTTGGCGTTGCTAGCGAACAATCCCCCAGCTAAATGATTTGGTCGCTTGCTTGACTTAGCAGGTTTTTGTGCTTGCGCTCTTTCTCTGCCACAGGAACTGTGTTTTCTTCTTTTACCACACACACCACTAATCTCACGCTATACGAATTTCTTCGCGGTTATATCCACACACACACACCCATGCGGTTATATACATATACATATGCACAGGTGTATAAATAAGTATGTGTGTGATGAAGCTGAAAATTACTCGCGCTTCATTTTCCCATTCTGTTTGCCTTGATAGCGCGACCGTGCCTGTAAATGAATTTTTGTTATTTTTCAACTGAACATATCAAAAAGCCAGACTTACATACGTAATCGCTTAATAATAGTAATAATAATAATAATGGAACAGTTTATTTAAGTAGCTTAATAAGGAGGCAATGAGCGATATTTAAGTACCTGAGTGTAGGTAAAAACAGCAAGTACTCCTCACAATTTAAACTCTTCTTTTTAGGCTGACAATTTCAAGTCAACATCTTATATATGACAGAAAAAACCACATACATCGTATTGTCCACAATGTTATGTACAAAGCGTGTAATTAATTTTTTAATTAGAAATTAATTCCTAAATTCCTAAAATACACAGTGATGTGTAAGGATGGCTAAAGAGGGACTTGTTGGGGGCAGGCAACTTTTTACAGCCACCTTCGACCAATAAACGACCTTCTAGCCAAGTATTTATTGTTGCTCCAAAGTTAAATACTCAGTTAAACTGTAATACAATAGTCATTATTATTTTTTCCAAGTATTGCTGGAAGAAGTAGATTTAAAACTAGTTCAGTATACTTTAATCGGATCTTCTGATCATCTCTTTAACAACGAACTAATACTTAAAGGTAGTATGAATTAATTGTATACAGAACCCCCTCAGTGTGTTTTCCCATGTTTCAAAAGTCAAAGTCTCAAAAAGTTCAAAAACGTTTTGAGAATGCTGAAATTATTTACTTAGGCTCTTAAAGGTTTTATAAAACTTAAATTGAGAGCATGTAAGTTGGAGACGAAGGTTCTTAGGGCTTTAAACTATATACACAATACTGACAAAACTAAACCATAACATAGTAAATTCAARCATTTCTGAAACCTATACTAAATGCTATAATGAATTAACCGTCTATCAACGAAATATTTTTGAAATTACTCTTTCCTAAGGGAGCTGTCTGTCTGCATAACTCCACTTTAAAACAAAATTTAAAATATTATAGTATTGAGTTGGAAAATAATTCATGCAAAATTTTATTGAGATATCTTGTCAAATAAAAAAAAATTCCTTACAAGAACTTAATTTTTATCGTTCAGTTTATATAACAGTTATACAAGGTGCGTTCCAAAGTAAACAGGGCTTTTAGAATCTAGTGCCCCTGGTGGCGCCATCTATATGTCGACTATTGCGCAAATTGTCATGTCATTTCATTGATTGGAAGTGAAGTTATTGCGTTTTAAGTGTCAGTATGTTTGTGTTATCGGTACGAAAATGAGCTTCGTACAAAGATTCATGCCTATCCCGTAGCAGAGTCACGAGTGGTTCAAAGTGGTCGTGAGGGYGTAGATGACGATCAACATGTRGGCCAMTCAAAATCCGTGAYCACCGGAAATTCCATCGATACTSTGCGTGAACTCATCAAAAATCAGCGAAATCATCATTGAAATTCATTGAAATGRAATTGAACATCTCCAAAATATCGATTTATCGCATTTTAATTGAACATTTGGGCTTACGAAAGGTGTGTGCACGGTTTGTTCCGCACAAATAGACAAAGGACGGTTATTTGACCCCGCCCCCCCGTATTCACCTGATATGGCWCCGTGCTACTTCTTCCTTTTCGGAAAAAAAATTTGTTCCGTTTACTTTGGAACGCACCTAAATCAGCTTTGCTCAGGTGCGGATCCATGGGAAAATACGAATTTAAGGCTACTTTCTCAATATCTGGTTACCAGCCTTTCTGTCCAGTTAATATAGTTGTCCGCTTAATGCATGTTTATATAACTTTAAAATTTTTAAAGACGTTGCTATAATTTTACACTTCGAGTAGTTCGTGCCTTGCAAAAGCAAATCTAGATATATAATTCAATTTATTACACCTTCTCTTAGCCCAAAATAGTAACTTAATTTCAAATAGTTTCATTTCCCGCTATTGATTTTTTGACATGCAGTAAAAACATTCTTTTCCACCTACACCCCTTAACCTTTTTCTAAGCTATAGATTCTCTCGTAGCGTTATTGTTATCTTAATTAATATTTACGCCTTCCCTAKGACTTTAATTCTCAGGTGCGGTTTGTTGTTTACATGCATTTATCGTAATTGAAAGAAAGTTTCTAATTTCTTCTAAATCCAAATTGTCTGCTGGGTAATCCAACATTCTGGCGGGTATGCGTTTTTATTCAAAAAATTTCACCTTGTACGCGACATTTTTAACAATTTCTTATTTAGTGAAGACATTATAAAGAAGAGCATTGAAACGGAAAGCGTTGCTTATTTGACAATTGGGAATTGGACAGGTGTAAGTTAAAATCAACCACGACGAGTTCCTATATAATAGCCAAAGCTTGACTTTTTTAAGTTAACTATGTTATTTCTAATTGAATTAATTGTGAAAACGGAAAAAATAATTATCATATGTTATAATGCGGCTGCACACGGTGGGCAAAGAGTGTGTGAAAGAGGTGTGATAAGCACTATGCCTGGCGAAGTRATTTGTTGACGTTGGGGAGAAAAATAACTCATATCGATTTCGATTTAGACGTAATTTTTTTCAATTTTACTCGTTTTGGTGGTGGATGATGGGAATGGAAAGTGAAGATGATTAACAATGGTGTGGGCTGTTACATAACTGTATACAAATTAACAGACAGAAAACGCTGGAACTGATCATTATAATTGACGCATGCACACGCGGCTAAGTATACGCTATGCGACCGCAGTAAGTGTACGATATATTGTTTACATACATATATATGTATGTATATGCAAACGATCAGTAAATATATATTTTTAGTTCCAAGTTGGTTTTTGAGTAATATTACTGTGATAAAGCTGAAACCACCGCAAGGTAACTATTTTCTATAGGTTTATTAATACATATTATACATATGTATATTCAGTAATAAAATATTGAAATGTTTTACAAAAGTAGTTATTTTTTATTTCCAACTATTCCTTCTATTCTATTAACTTTGATCTAACAATGTCGTTTCGAGACTAAATTCATAAATCCCCAAAATATTAAGTCTCAACTTTCTTATCTGAGACACCTTTACACTTCCGTCATTAAATGTTGCACCTAATTAATGGAAAACTTTGAACRAATGAACAGAGGTATTTTTTTTTTAGATATTTTAAATATAAGCCTATGAAATAGTATCAAGATAACATATGAACGCCAATATTGGACACTACACAACATATAGTACATAAGTAAGTCATGCTCTATTTAAAAAAGAATGTGCACAAGTGTAAAGATTATTAATTAACAAAACTATTTAATGCAAATTCAAATTCAAATTTTCCGCAAACGTTACAAATGTGTGAAGATATGTATGTCTATCGTTACGAATACATAAATTGATACATACCGTGTGAGCTTGCAAGACACATAAAAACGTTTGTAATTATTTGTGCTACAATTGTCAACCAGCTGAATGAATGATGAGAAAGTTGCTGTTGTTCCAACGTAATTATACTCCACACTTTTTATATATTTATTTGCAAGCAAATTGAATAAAATACTTATTAGTACAGCAAATTAACGCAAACGATATGATATTTATGTGCTACGACAAGTCTTTATCTATTCACGTTAACTGTTATTTCAACACGTTTTACAACTTTTCTTTTGTTATGCTGCGCATATTTTGTTGAAAGCATTGCGAGCGCTTAGTTTCCCTCGCTAAAAGTTAACAGCTAAAATCACTGTTACAAATTTGGCTTAGACCGGTGAGTATGCACGCTTGTTTATACATATATACATGCCAGCTCGTACTTTGATGGATGCGACAGCAATTGGCGTCATTAAGCAGTGTCCGATTGTCATCAACAAATCCGCTACACTGAAATTATAACGATTTTCAAATGCTGAAGCAAAACAACGATTGCATTCAGTACGTACACACTTAGAAAAGTAATAAAATTAAACAAAATTTTAAAACATCTACAATAACCAAAACAAACCATTTGCACAAACAACAAATGACATTTTGAGCAATAAATACAATGCGCATGCGCAGCCAAGTCGTTCAGCGAAAGTAACTGAACAAGTTCCAACAGTTTTATCTTTGGCAAATGACCAAAACCGACTGTAGAAATTACCATTTTTTATATTACACTGCCACATAAGTAGGGTAGTCAACCATATAAGGGTGAACTAATGATTTTTTTTTGTTGGCATACATTTCAGTCTACATCCTATCGTTCCTAGTCCAGTCCTGGCAATATTTGCTTTCGTTATAGTAAACTGCAATTTCTTAATTCTGAATACACAATTGATCGCATAGTAAATGTGCAACATGTCAAACGGTTAAGGCTGCTAAAATAAATATGTACAATTATTTACCTTCAAAGTTCACTTATACATTCATATTTATATATAATGCATTTGGAATATTAAAAATTACCTTTACAAATTTTAAGCCTCCAATTGTTATTTAATATTAGTTTTATAAATACCATTCATTCACATTGGTGAAAAAGGATGTTTATTACTTTATTTCTTGTGTTTCAAGAATATTTAGTTCTCACATCGAAAACATACATACAACTGTAAAATTATACTCAATGCAGATGTATTCAGATTACTTAAATTACACTATAAACTACATTTCTTAATCTTTTACATTAATTAGCATTGATACTAATGCAAGTTATATATATAGCGAATTTTAAAATTGTTATTCAAATTTAATTGAGTTAACACCCATGTCAATTTGACCCCCACGATAACTTCCACGCTTCTTCTTGGTTTTTTCRTGTTTAAATGACTTTCCACGTGTATATTTCAAATCTTTGTTCGCCCGTTCACCCCACGAACCGGATGCATTTCGCTGTAAAGCAATAAAATTAAGATTTTCGTAATCATCAGTACACACACATATAACACAAGCGTATTTAAAATAGTCGGTGAAATGTAAACGAAATTGTTATGTTGTGTGTTTCTAAAATATTTTGCACTCGTTATCATAGTTTAATCATCAAAGGTGATCTTTTTGTTAGACCCTGATGAATCGAATGATTTATTAAAGGGTTTATTCGCTCCACCGAAGTTTCCACGCCCAAATCCACGGCCACGTCCACCAAAACCACCACGACCGCGATCACCGCCACCAAAGCCACCACGACCGCGGTCACCGCCACCAAATCCACCACGACCACGATCGCCGCCACCAAATCCACCGCGACCACGGTCACCACCTCCGAATCCACCGCGACCACGATCACCACCGCCGCCTCGACCACCACGTCCACGTCCGCCACCGCCGTTTTCAAAGCCACCAAATGATTTTCTATCTCCAAACTTTTGGAAGCCGCCATTTCCGTCACCGCCGGCACCACCACCTCTACCTCCTCTGCCGCCTCCGCGACCACCAAAGCCACCGCCGCTGCCGCCTCTTCTATTATTAAAGTCTCCACCTTCACTCTAACATGACCACATAATTGTTTTTTGAATCGGTTGGCAATAGTTAGGAGAACAGCACATGAAAAAGGAAACACAAATTAYTTTATTTTTGAACAATTTCAAATCAAAATTACTTATTGTAAAACAAATGKTCGCAATAATAATCGGCTTTGTCGCTAACCCCTTGTGACAAATGTCTTCATAAAATGCATAGAGTTAGCGATAAGACCGTTGAAAAGAGTATATATTTAGGAAAAGCATTAAGAGCATTGTACCTAAGGCACAAATCCGTTACAAATAAGTAAGTGCCTCAAACATAAATTTAATAATTTGTGAATTCCATTTTCAGCTGCGATATTGAAAGATTGTAACAATTTCGTCGTACATTTCACCCACTTAATAAACACCCTTTGAGGCACTTACCTTGGCTTCGAATGACATATCTTTTACCCGTGCATCTATTTCTACCTCCTCTTCACGCACTCTTCTAAAGGGCGTATTTTTCCTCACTTCTCCATTCGATTTTCTTTGATCATTAAACTTTGCGTTACCATTAAAATTTGGTGTAGAGTCAAAACCATTTTGTTGTGGCTTTAGAAATTTTAAATGATATATATTACAAAGCAGCTACAAGTTTTTTAATATATTTTAAATGCTTCGCTAAAATTGAATACTTTATATTATATTTTTTGGAAAAACAGACTTTCTGCCGAGGTTTGGAACTTTATGACATAAATTTTCCTTCCTTAATAATTTTTGTTGTTAACTTTACCTAACTTATGTTCAATTAATTGATATTTTTTTACGTACCTTGCCTTCGCCGCTTTTAACGAAATTATTATATTTATTGTTAGACTGATTTTTTCCTGCAGCAGAATCATCAAATTTTCGCTTTTCTCCAACTTTTGGTTTGGGCTTCTCTTCTTCGTTATCGTCCTCGTCGTCATCGTCATCATCAGAGCTGCTTTCCTCTTTCTTTTGTGCCTTTGCTGGTGCTAAAACTTTTGGCTTAGCCTTCGCTTTCTCATCTTCGCTGTCATCAGAATCACTGTCGTCACTGGATGATTCAGCTTTCTTGCTTACAGCGACAGCCTTAACAGTCCCTACAGCTTGTTTTTTTTTTGGTGGTTCATCATCAGAGGATGAATCGTCAGAGCTAGAATCTTTCTTTTTAGTTGGTACAGCAGCTTTTGCAGCTTTTGAAGGTGCTGCTTTCTTCGCTGGAGGCTCTTCATCATCGGATGAACTGTCTTCAGAACTACTTGAATCCTTTTTAGTTTTGGTCGGGACAACATTCTTTTTTACAGCCGGTAAAACAGCGGGAGTTTCTTCATCACTGGAGCTGTCTTCTGAACTGGATTCCTTCTTTGCTACTATCTTTTTAGCAGCTGACTTGGAATCTTCGTCGGAGCCGTCCTCACTAGATGAGTCAGCTTTCTTTGTAACCGCAGCAGCTTTAACTACGGTTTTTTTTGCAGCGACAACTTTAGGTTTTTCGTCTTCACTGTCCGAATCTGAATCGGAAGAKCTTGCTGCTTTAACACCTGCCTTGGCTTTAGCAGGGACAACCTTGGTGGGTTTTTCATCTTCTTCACTTTCTTCGGAGGAGCTGTCAGAGTCATCTTTTTTCTTTATGACAACAGCTTTGGCACTTACCGGCTTCTGTGCGGGTTTAGCCTTTTCTTCTTCACTATCACTCTCATCCGAACTGTCTTCAGTGTCATCTTTCTTTGCAACATTTTTAACTAATGGTGTTTTTGTTGGTTTAGTTTCTTCTTCACTATCAGATTCTTCACTGCTTGACTCTTGCTTTTGTTTCTGTTGCACTTTATTTGTGGCAACAGGTTTGACAGGTGCTTTGACTTGTGGTTCGTCATCAGAACTATCTTCACTAGAAGAACTCTGTAAAGTAAAACCATAAAAATCACATACTTATTCCAAATTATAAATTTCTTTTACCTCTTTCGTCTGTTGTGTTACCGGTTTGCTTACATTATTTTTTACCGCGGGTTTCTCGTCGTCGTCAGAACTGTCTTCACTTGAAGATTCATCCTTCTTTGCTTTGGATTCTGGTTTTTTAACTACTGCAGCAGCTTCTTCTTCGGAACTACTATCATCGGAGCTGGATTCTTTCGCGTTACCTTTCGATGCAACAGCCTTACCATTGGTTAAAGCAACGTTAGGTTTTTTAGTCTGTGGTGCTGCTGTTTCTTCTTCTGAAGAACTGTCCTCATCACTCGAGTCGCCTGCAATCGATTTGATAACGGGCACCTTCTTCTTGTTACTTTTTTGATAGCTTTCAATAATTTGCTCCAACTTTGGAAAACCTTTACCGACGGTACCCTGAAAATATTCAGCTTTACTTAAAAACCGTCCTACAACAAAAAGACTGTACCAAATAATACCGCATTTGTTTTCTGTTGAAACACTTTAGCTAAATTCTTATCTCTTTTCTTTAAATACTCTAGCACGAGTGCGGATATTAATTGCTCATTTGTAGCCATTATTGTTACCACTTATATTTCAAATAATTATAGAAAAGCTATATGAAAATAAACGTGGAACTACAACCAACACGTGCTAGCACAGTCGAAATAGCAAAGGGGCAGAATATCAGAATACCAGAAGAACGTTTATCGAAATATCGGAAAGAAAAATTATAATCGCAGAGATGCATTTAAAAAAAATGTGGTTCACAGCGGTGCCACATTATAAAAACGAAACACATAATAAACGTTCTCTGACCACAATTTACGTTCTCTGCAAAAGAGATATTATTTAAATTAAATAATGAACAAAAAATTTTTCATGCATTGAAGATATGTTAATATGCAGATTAATTCGGAAAAGTCCAGAACTGGAAAACAATTATTATGTTAGATTTTAATAGGAATGGATAGCATAGTTGCTAATTTTTACAATCATATACCAACCAAGTTTGATATGCTACCATAGATTTTCTGCGGTTTAGAATACGTTAAAGTGACGTCAGTAACAACTAAAAAAGAATGTTCCACATTGAAATTTTTCGTCGTTTGTATAGGTAACCCCAAATATCTTATAAAATGTTTCAGTTCACCCACCCAACATTTGCCTTGAAAGTAGACATACGAAAGTGAAAATTATTACTTTTCACAAAGMATAATTAATCTAATATAGAAAGTCCTTGCACAAATCCAGGTATCTTTTATATACAAATTCATTTCATATTTGGTTCTGTTTTAAGTTTTATTTTCAATGTTTTTTTTTTTTATAAACTTAAGACTTAAAATTATAAATTATTTGTGTTTTATTTTCAGTTTCACAAAAAGTCCAAACATTTGACGTCTTCTTTTTTAAGGATAAGTGTTTTCATTGTTAGGTTTTATTGGTGGTAGCAGTGTTGTAGATGGTGTTGTTGTTCTTCTCCAGGAAGGCATTTCATATGAACGCAGCAAAGACAGCTTCCCAATAGGATCTATTGAAAATGCCGGGACCTGTCACTRCTGCACCCTCTTTCACTTAGTACATACTAAACTTCACAACACCTGCTTTGCTTGACTACAAATAAACGTTCGCTACACTTAAATTGTAGCAATTTACATGCCCTTTTCGATCTTGATGAGTTCGGTGATGCCATCGTACATTTCCTTCACGGCCTGGTATTCGGTCAGACCCATACGGCGTTTGTTGGAGATATCATAAATACCACCTTCAGCTTCTGTATGTTCACCACGAGTACCGCGTACCTGCAAGTTATATTTGCCAGCAACGTTCTCCAATTTAGCAAGGTCGGCAGCCAATTTTGGCAATTTAATGTGCACCGACGCACGGATGGTGGTACCCAAGTTGGTGGGGCAGAATGTCAAGAAGCCCAAACGGTCATCATGGCTGAATGGAATACGCTTCTCAATTTCATTTACGGCGTTTGTTAGACGACGGAAAACTTCACCCAAATCACCGCCCTTTTGCATCGAAATGATACGCAAATGATCTTCCTCATTGCACCACACCAGGAAAGTCTTGTTGTCGTTGTGGTAGATACCACGTCCAGATGGCCAGTAACGGCAAGCATTGGCGGCTTGCAAGAAACGATCACCTTCCTTGAACAAGAAGTGATCATCAATCAATTGCTGTTGAACTGATTTCTCCATGCCGGTCAATGGGTAAAATTTGCCCTTCAATTCGCCTTCCAAACCAGACAAAGTAGATGAAACCTTCTGTTCCATTTCCTTGTACTGGGCTTCGGTTAGACATGGGTTGAATGGGTAGCCTTCAAGGGAGCGACCGCAACGCACACGAGTGGAAATAATGAATTCATTGTTGGGATCCAAATTTCCAAAAGTGCTTACGTCACCAAAGTCCTTTGGTGGATGTTTATCGGTCTTCTTGAAACCACCATGGTAATCCTCAATGATTGGGTCGAACAAGTCAGAAAAGACAGTGTAGGCCTCAGCATCAGGAGCGTAAATACCAACACCAGAATCGTGATTGGCCAAGCCGGATTGAATAACATCCAATAAAGATGAGCCGAAAGTTGGGGTCTTCTTGTTCTTCAAGCTGTCGAACACTTCCTTAGTCAAGTATTTCTTCAGCAATGACTTGGAGTCAGAGGCAGCCAACTTGGCGTAGCCCTCTTCCAATTTAGCAAGAACTGCAGCGTCAACCATGATGTTTAATTTTCTGCAATAAATAGAACATAGAAAAAAATTAATATTTTTTTAAGAAATTGCATTAATTTAAGTCAAAATAGTCAATTACTTGCACCAGTCCGTATAGCAGGCATGAGAAACTTGCTCAATACGCATTCCGCGGAATATTAAGGATCGAAGATTAATGAGCAAGCGCATTTTCTCAGCTTTCATATGAAATTTTGTTAACGATATAATCAAAAATAAGTATTTTAAATAAATCAATAATTTTTTGAAAAAAAAATGGAAAAAAAAATTGTCAAAATATGAATATTAAAATTTCTAACGAACTTCTTTAGATATTTTGTCTATTGTAGTGGTTCCATTTACTAAAATCTGCAAATTAAACAAAAAGTGCTCGAACGCTGCACTATGCATGTGTGATACTCAGAAATATTAAAAAAAAAAAAAAAACAAAAAAATCAAACGAGACCGGCTTTTGTCCTGCCTCAAACCGACTTAATGACATGAGTAGTTGTCACGCATGCGATCGAAATTAAGGGCGGTTAAGAGGAAAATGCGATGTGTATCTATTTTCTCTACTATTTTATTTTAAGTTACCCCAATTCGGTATATTGTACAAACATTCAAAATACAGACATATGTATGTGTATGTACATACATACAGTATACGACAGCTCCGGAATTCACATTGTCTCCACCCAAAAGCAAAAAACTTAAAAAATTTTTAGACCAGAAATGTGTGACTCATTTTACTGTGGCATCCAACAGATGTAATAATTTAATAGATCCTTTTTAGCGGGCGTTGTTTCCGCGACGACACCACGGCAGCAAGCCTATGTGTATATACACACATACATATGTATGTATGTACTGATGAACACGCCTACATATCCTCGTGGATGCTATGTACCAATTATATTTTAAGGAATATTTTATTTTTTTTAATTAAGCTTAAAACCATTTTTGCTCTAAACTAAAGGAATAAATAAGGAAAACCATTAAGACACAATTCAAATATGGAGAATATGCAAAAAAAAAAGCGAAGCGAATATATTTTAAATATAAGTTACTTACAAATAATATATTACATATACATATGTATATATTATTGTCAACTTTTGTTGCCTTTGTTCCATTTGTTAAAATCACGCATATTTGCAAATATTAAGCAATACACACCCTTCGTTGTTGATCGCGTCGCCATTCGCAGTAGTGGCCGAAGGGTCTGCAGTTGTGTTAGTTGCACCGTCCTCTACATTTTCGGCGGTGCCCGTCTTGTCTGCGGCAGCCGCATCCCCGTCGACCACTGTGTCCTTTTTATCTTTTGAAGCACAACCACCCATATCGCAGACTGTCTTTTTGTTTGATTTGTTAATACTTTCTACAGCAGTGGGATTTGTCGTCTATTTGTTTTTCTATATCTTCTCTACTTTGGCTCTACGCGTATAGATAATCTTTAATTTTTGACGTGCAGAATTCAGTAAATATCCTACAATACTGGGTATTTGTTTTGCCTCCCCCTACTCTACTTTTGAAGGGCCTTTATCTTAATGTTAAATCACACAGTTTTCGTTTGTTTCAATATGATTCACTTTGGTCCAAAATGCAAAATGTTGGTATATCACCGTTATTTTGAGGTAAGTAATTTGCTCAAAAACTTACAAAGTGGGCGTTTGATTATACTTATCTACTTTATGTAGTTTTGATATACTTCGTATATGTGTATGTATGTATATTTTGTACATAAAAATTTGTTAAGAGAATTCGTTTTACTTTAACTATTGCTTAAGTTTGCATACTAACGCTTGAAACTAAATAAATGATTTCATTACATCAAAAAAAGGTGTAACCCCTTTGAAGTAAATATGTATGTATTGTATCTGTGTACACAATTTTTTAATTTTCGCAATTGTCGTTGTTGATTGAAATTTCTATAGCTGGTTTTCCACTCTCCAGTTGTCGACTTCTTTTAATTGCTTGCTTGTGAGATGATGGTGGGTTAGTTGTGGAGTTTTAGTATATATTATGGTTTATTGTGTAAAAGAAGTTATTTTATTTTAAATGTCTTTGATTTCGTTGCTTATTGGCAAAAGGACGTCTGACTTAAATATTCATTAAAAATCGTATTAACTTTGTAAAAATTTTAAAATTCCTCGAAATTTCTTCCACAATATTTTGATTTCACAAAGTTTGTGCGTATTTGTTAATTTTTGATGTTTGTTAATTAATTCTGGTATATGCTCAATAGAATTCCTTTTGAGTTAGCACGCTTTACCATGTAAGTTAATCTATTTTTTATATTTCTATTTTTTCTATGGGAAACTTTTTTSAAAATGCATTTAATACATTTGATTGGTATTTGAAATATACAAATATTTTAGACAAAACTATTTTTATTACAAAAAACTACACGTTCGCGTTCGTACTAAGCTAAACGTCGTCGCTTAATGAAAAATTCGTTTATTTGTGGCCGCCGCGCCCAAAAGTATACTTCAGCTATCCTGTGTACAGCTATGATTTTGGTAATTTGATTTGGTAGCTTTGCAAGCGTACACGAGAAGCTGACCGCTAGCTACCTAGTGATTTGCCGACAACAAACGAACGCAATCGGAAATTTTAAAGGAACTAAATTTTAGATTCAGGAATCAGCTATACATAGGTGGACTTTTTAAATGGCACTTCTACCCGGTGAACGGTGGATATTTTGTGGTTAACGGCACCAGAAGTATGTTGTTGTTGCTCAACAGGCAGACGATGCATGCATGTCAGCTATTTGACTTAAAGCTGAATGAAGAGCAACCGGAGAGATTGGAGAGCGAATTGGGACATACACCCGTGTACATGTGTACATTTTTCAACGGGGGATGGAAAAGGATATTGTTCAAATAATGGCAATTGAATGCATAAAATTGTGATTTTATGTAATCAATGGAACAATACAATATTTTTCGATTTCACGATTAAGTGTTTATTAATATTTTTGCGACAATCATTTAGTTAAATAGTGTTGCTTATGTTGACGCTTGCGCATTCAAAAAGTGGGAAAGAATGTGCTCATTCTAAGATTTAATACTCCCGACAGGCCCGTAATTATAGTTTGTATTGCCATAACGTAAACGTGCTCAAATAGATATGCATTTACATTGGCATACCCTATACATATATATATTATTATAGCCTTTGATATAAAAATGGTAATTCCAAGTTGACTTATAATAGAATTTGACAGTCTTATAAAATCACCATTAATTATCTTGACATATAAAATGTATGCACCGCCAAAATAAATATTTGTGACCTGTTTTTATAGAGTATATCTCTGATTTTGAAAATTTTCATTAAAAGTTATGACCTTTTAGACGACTATCCTTGTCAATTGTATTTTCCTCTTGATCATATTAATGGAAATTACTGTCCATTTTCGGGCACATTCGTATAATAATATTGTAAAATTCATTTCGATTAAAACTGTTATATATGTATGTAGTCGTAACGAAACGCTTAGGATGTATGCACATGGTGGAAATCTCAATATTATATACGCTAATAAACTTTTACAGGTAAGCACGTGTAAATGTCTTTACTCAAACTGTGTTTTTATGTTTGCTAATATTCGCGCTTGCGGTTTACTTTCGACACACATGGGTATAATTTAATACACATGCAGGTGAAATTTMCATGCATTGAATTTGCTAATATGGCTATCTAAATAAGTCCCACAAATAGGTGAAGTACAATAATATAATGGAATTTGATAAAGAAATATAATTGCTATCAACGGCAATAGAAACTAAATGCTGATAAGGTACGGAAATTTTTGCTTTGGCAGTCTTCACAAGCAAAAGGAAATGTTAAAAGGTGCATATAAATGGACTCATGTAAGCACATACATACATTACACATTCTCACTTGTGTTTAATTAATGTCCAACATCTTAATTGTTGTAAAATTTGCAAAACCGTTAATAATAAGTGAAGTGCTTTAGCTCATACAGTCAGACGTCAACAAGGGGTATTTTGCGAAAAGTACAAATACGTAGTATATAGAGTATTTATGTACATATTTTTTAAAATATAGTATTTCATTAATATATAGATATTAAAACAACTTTTAAAGTAAAAACCTATGTTTGACATATGTATGTACATAAATAAATATGGATGTATGTACATATATGGTCAGTATATTTCAAAAATTACCACGCAAAGACTTGCACTATAGTCATATTTCAAAATCCTGATCAGTTTTCAATATCCTTCCTGTAATTGAAACTATGTTATCAGTTCGTTATTTTATAAATTCCAAGTGCAGTCAACTGTGGGAAATAATTTTGAAAACGCACGTCAAAAATTAAAATAACTGGAAACGTTTGAACCAGTMAAGGTTGTTTGTATTATCTATAAATGTATATAGCTGTATATGAACATTAATTTATATCGCATTTTACAAATTATTAATTAACAACCGAATTAAATATTCATTAAAAACTGTTTTTGTTTATTTCACAACTGCTCTTTCAAATTTTACATTACGTAGGTTACACACATTTGAAAATAATGATTAAAACAACTCGGTGATATTTCAAATACTTGAGAATTTTCCTATTAGAGTCAACAACAGGTTCATATGTACTAAATTAATTAACCGCCGACTATTATAAACGTTGTTACGCGATCGCTTTATTAACAACGAATGCTGGTGAAAAGGTAAAGGTGTGTTTGCTCATTTCAAATTGTACAGATTTAATTATAAACTCAATCGTAAAAGTTATCTGAGTAGATATGAATTTTTGCTTGACTCTGAATCACCCACTAATTTTTTTCGCCTGTTATTTGATAAATAACTTTCAAGAGTGCACTTAAAAATGTCGCCCAGCATACACACAGGAACAAATATGTATAGTCAAATACTTGTACCTACACGGTTGCAGAGAATAGTTAGTGAAATAAATGTGTCAAAAAAGAAGTTTGAGCAATAATCAAGTTGTATCTTTGTACATACATATGTACATATGTATATACATACATA